ATTATGGAGTGGGGTGAAATTCTGATTGGCTAATTTGAATTTCACGTATGTAAATTTGAATTTCACATATGTGAATTCGCAATTCACATAATTTCATTTTCACGTACAACAGTTAACAAGTGCTATCTAAATAGAACCCCAAAAAACTCCTATTGAATGGCACTGCCAACACTATGATTCGAAAATTTTAAAAATGTCACCACCCACCTTATATTCGCATTAATAAGGAAGAAAAAAAGGTCACCAGTTACACTATAATTTGCAAAGAAAAATGTCACCGATCATACCAATTCATGAACATAGGTTATAAAAAAAGGTTATAAATTACACTATAATTCGATATTAGGGGAGTGCCCAAAATGACATCATTTCGCTCTGATATAAGCTCATACCCCCTCCCTCATGAGGTATCACAAAAATTTTGATAAAAATGAAAATGAATTTTATTGGAACATATAATGTGTAACGTAGAAAGCTCCCAACCCTTCCCCCAAACCGAATGATGTCATTTTGGGCACTCTCCTTATTATCAGGGCTGGCCACGTAAAGGGCTAAAATTCTAGTTTGGTAATGATTGTCTTGACTAAACTTGACTTGATAAATATTATCCCCTAAACGGTTAATCGGCTATTGATAGCTGATAAAATTTTTCTGATATAAAATTTTTTTTCTGAGGGCATCACTTTCTAATACGAAAGTGATCTTTGAGATTCAGCCAACTAATCTATAAATAAAAATCCAGTTGTTGTCCTTGTGGTTTTGTAAAATCTTTAAAGTTGGTTGATTGACTGTTTTTAATTTGCTGATCGTTAAATTGACCAATAATAATGATCAAAACTTTAATTTGCGATACCATTAAAGAATACTCTGACCGTTTAAGAGATAATAATAATGCACAGTCAGAATTATGCTCCGATTTGGAAATACTAAATTACTAAATACTGTAATAATCAACAGTCATGGAATTTTATTGGAAGAAAAATGATTGACAAATTTTATCCAAAGAAAATTTTTATTTATTAAAGGATCATATACAGTCAAATCCCTCTAAATGCACGCTCTCATTCATTTCGAAGCTTGGGAATTAGAGATAAATGCACACCCTTTTCACCCTGCACTCCACGGTCTTTTTTTCATTCCCATCTATATAAAACTCCCACTCTAAATGCACACCCGTGAATTTCACGTGATCATTGCCCAATGAAAATGGTGCGACCGACGTTTGATTTTTCCTTTGTTGCGTTACAAAAAAATAGATTTTTTGTAAGAGATATAAAGAATTAAATACTTGGTAAACAATGATAAATAGTATAAAGGATCAAATTTATTACTAGTAAGAGATGATAAAGAATTATTTTGTAACAGGCAAGTAAAGAATTGTTCACTTTATTAAATGACAGGAGAATAAAGAATTCTTTCTTTTTAATAAATACAAAAATTATTAGAACAAAAGGACAAAAAGCAGACAGAGAAGTTTATGTAGTTAAAATTATTATAAATAAGACATGAATCAAGAATTTTATTTCATTTCATTAAAACTTCTATCATCAATTAACCTTAATTTCTAACTGATATATTAGTTTAAAAACAATAAATACAATGAGGCAAATTACAATCTTAATCATTAAATTTTTTTGGTAATAATAATAATGACAGTAGTATTTTTATTAGTGTCATGTGTATACATGAAGTCGAAACTATTTCAATCATTTGCAGATCTGGTCAAAATAGGGTCGAAATAAGGTTAAAACTGATTTTTACTATGTAGTTACCTCAAGTCGAAACATTTTGACTTTGGGGTTTTAATTTCGACTTCATGTATAGTCATGTGCAACCAATGAAATGCTTTGTTTCTCTAAGTGCACTCATTCCCAAGGGGGATGCACTTGGAGAGGGTTAACTGTAACTTCCAAATTCATACAAGATGTGTGGTTTTAACTGTTCTATGAACCTGTCCGGGATTAAGCAATTTTAAGGATGCCATTGTATTTTTTAATTAACATGTATAAAAAATTACTAATTAATGTAAAAATTCCATATTATAAATAATTAAATGCATTTTTTAATAAATTACAAGTATTTTCTTTTTTACCTAATTCTTTCATAATCCATCACAAAGATCCTTTAATAAATCTTTCATAATTAAAACATAACAAATAGTATTATGTATAAATATTTATAGTATGATTAAATATAGACAATAAATGTATATTAAATGAATATACTTACAAGAAAACAGTTTAAAGAATTAGATAGGAAATATTTAGAGAGTAAATTAGTGCAATGTAAGCAAGAAATGAAAAAAGGTGAGAGTACTGTTGTATGCATCAGTAAATGCTGTATTTTAAAAAGAATAGGCATCTTAGCTAAGTATTTTCCTGAAATATATTTATTGATTGTTAATAGTTAACATAATTTAAATAGTTTTTTTTTCAATAAGAAATATTATTATTTAATAAGAATGTAAACTTTTATGGACAATTAATATCTACTTGGTAAAAGTTGTACACATTCCATTACTGACTTTCCTGATGCTTGTCTCCAAGATCGATTCACATAATTTCAACTGGTGACTCTTTCAACTGGTTCAGCAAATAAGCAAAACAATGTGATAGCTAATGGTCTTGACATTTTGTTCACCATAAAGATAAAAAAAAGGTTTAACAAATATTTAGGCAAAAAACAAACTCTTTGTACAAAAATTCATCAATTTTGAATAAAAGTGTACTTTTTCAAATAACAAATTATAATAGATTTTTTTTTTACACAAACCTCTGTAATAAATAATCAAGATAATACCTTCAAACTTTCCCTTTCATAATCTGTAAAAAATGGGATAAAAATTAAAACGTCAATTCAATTGCAGGTGACATTACAATTCATATTACATTACAAGATGTAGTTTATTTTCTGGGGTAGAGGTTGGAATCGTCCAAAAATCCTTAGTCGACTACTAGTTGGTCAAATTTCTTTTAGTCGACTAAATTTTTTTAATACTAGCGTGTAACCATTTGCTTCGCAAAATGGTCACACTAGTCACAGGAATAACATCCTATTTAATTAGAATATTCATTCTGTTATTATTAACGGTTTTTTTTAATTTGCAGATTACAAATTCATCTCCATTTGAATCTTTAATTTTCTCGAAATACTTCCATACGAAGCTATATGTTATAATTCGTTTTTTTAAAGGTCTGGAGCCACTGCTTGAGCTCGAAGCCAACGAATTGTTGGAATGATTTGACCTTGTATCAATGTTTATTATTTCGCATGGATAATTATCGCCAACACCAGCACCAACACCACCATTATCATCTTCTTCATAATATTGATACTCCGCATATTTATTTTTATTATTAAAATTTTTTGTACCACAAAAAACGTTTTCATTTATAATTGGCCAGACAATAACAATAATGGGTATTAGTTGACTAAATAATCGACTAAATATAAAATAGTCGACTAAATAATCGACTAAAATAGTCGACTAAATAAACAACTAAAGTAGTCGACTATTAGTTGTTTAAAAAAAAAGTTAGTTGACTAAAATAGTCGACTATTTTAGTCGATTCCAACCTCTATTCTGGGGAGCATGCTCATATTCCAATTTGAATTCTAATTTACAAAATTTGCTTTCAAGAATTTTAATAATCTGTTGTATGTGTCACAGGCTATATTGATTTTGCTGAATGTTACCATCAAATTGATTCGCACAATTATAAAAAATCACAATTCGAGATTATATGTTCGACTGTTTGATTTGGCATTGACATACAATAGAGTTTTCCTGGTCCCAATACTATGTGGTGATGTCAATGATCTAGGTTGTTTATGGTGGTGTTTTCACAATTAGTCAATAGAATCTTGGGTAAATTTAATATGTAAAACCTTTCAAATTGCCTGGGACCTCAACTAGAAGTTTCCGGGTCCTATCTAAATCTATAAAAAAAAGTTTTTTTACAAAATAATTAATTTAAAATTTTAAAATTTTACAATGGCAACATTTGAAAAAATAGAATAAGATTTAAAAGACATAAAAGTGAGATTAGATAAGGCAGCGAAGGAGTTGAAGGTATTTGAAGAGGGGAGGACGACGGGAGGTGGTTGAAGGAGTAGAGAAGAAAGGCGAGAAGGAATGGCCTTAGTGAAGAGGAGAAACAGGCGAGGCCGGAGAAAAAGGAAGAAGTGGGGATATTCTTACAAAAGGAATTATCTGAATTCAATAAAGAAAAAGGTAATGAATGAATTGCATAAAAGCATATACAAAAAATAATTTTCGTTCATTACATTTCGTTTATTTTTATTTATTTGGTGTAATGTTTATAACTTTATTTTTTATTTATTTATTTTTTGGATGCGAACCAACATTATAATAAACGTCAAAAGATTGATGATAATGATGATTAGTATCAATATTGCCAACAGGAAATGATATTTTGATAGAATGCAATTTGTAACTACAATTTAAAGCTCCGAACGGTTCGGTTTTTCGGTTTACATTCGACCCAAAAATTTCAGACATTTTAAATTCGCTAACTGCGCAAAATATAAATAATAACTTCAAAAAAATTATAATAACTTGTAGCTTAGTTTTAGCGAATGCGTTGCGGAGTAGAGATGCTAGAAGGATCCTGCTTCTAAATACATAATTTATATACATGGTAACGATGGTCCATTTCTTACCATAATTAGGAAATTATGTTGGTCGGATCGTTATATATTCACTACAAAAATTTGTACGTTTAGATCTATTCGTAATAGTAATACTAATACAAATTCTTATTCGAATTATTCGCTTTATTCGTTCTATTCGTATTATTCACATTATTCGTTTTATTCGTTTTGTTCATTTATTCATTTTATTCATTTTATTCGTTTTGTTCGAATTACTCGTTTATTCGTTTCATTCGTTTCATTCGAATTATTCGTTCGTTCGACTAAACTTTCAATTTTAATATTAATTCGAATACTCAAATTCATAATAATAACGAATGAAACAAATAATTCGAATAAAAATCCTAAGGACGTTCTATTTTTTTTTTTTTCAATTCATATATAAAATTCGTCGTCTCCGCAAAATTTTAAACTCTTGTTGTTTCACGTTCTAAAATACAACGCCTCTGAGTAATTAAGTCTGTGCCTCCAGAAAAAACTCGTCCGCTGGTTGCTATTATAAATTAATAAATTTAATTCTAAATAAGCAGAGTGCAAAAATTAGAATACCAGGGACGGCCAAGTAGTTTTTAGCCTAAATCTCTGAACAGTTCGGTTTAAACCGAACTGAGCCGAAATTTTTCGGTTTGACTTTTAGAAATCGAAACCGAGCCGTTCGGAGCTCTATATTTGTTTTTCTTATCAACAGTCCTTGAAAATATAACATAAAAATTATTATCAAGTTTCCAGAAAATATTGATACCACTTTTTATAAATCAGAAATATATTCTAAATATCAGTTGAAAAGGATCAAATTGAGCTGAAAAATGGAATCATGATAGACTCGGATGGCAACTTAATAAAAGATGCAATTGCTGTATCTTTAAGTTTCCCTTTTGGGCAAGAAAGTTCGGAAGATGAAGCAATTGCAATTTTAGGAGGTGGAGACAACACAAATTCACAAGAAAGTCTAAAAATTGAATAGACAAAATATCTTCATTTTATAATTCCATTAAATATATTATATTTTCTTGTGAAAAAGGATCCTATAATATGATGATACGGAAACATTACATTCAGCTAATCGTTCTGTTAATGCAAAAGGTTGCGTAGTTATTGGGAAAACATATTTTGGGATATATTTTGCTTTTTACATAACTCAACATTATTCAGAAAATGATATAGTTTATGAATATGGAGAAGAAAAAGATGGAATTATTTATCATATAAACCAGATGGAACTGTAAAGAGAGTGAAAGACAGATTGATAATTAAAAGATTTTGAAGACAAATTTTGAAAAAGAGATTGTTAATAGCAGTCACTCAATTGGTAAGAATTTTAATAAATAAAGGGGAAAAGAAGAGTGTGTATAAGCAATTGCTAATAGATTCTAGGAATGAGCTCGGTAATCCATGGACTTTATCATAATCTTCTACATGCAAACTCAATAATTTTCTACTTTATATATTCTCCGTCAATCAATCAACCAATCAATTAATCAATCATTCATTCATTCATCATCTTACTTGAGATCCATCTTTGGGTCAATGCAAAAAAATTTTAGATTAAAATATGTATTTTTAATAATTTTTTTATTATATAATAAAAAATTGTTTGTACATGATGTAATACATTGAAGATTAAAAGAACTTTTATCAATACTGCTCCAACAATTTTCAACTTTTTTTTTAAACAGCGATTTTCATGCCAACATCAATAACATCCTCTATTGGTATATTCCAATTACCATATAATTGTCTTGAATTATTTATTAGAAACACGTAACATTCTAATAAAGCTTTTCTGAACCAATTAGAATTCGGTTTTGAATCAAATGTTTGTGTAGAAACAATATAAGTTACAACATCATAATTAACATTAACTCCAGTCTCGTTATCACTATCATCATTATTATAAATATCATTCTTTCGTATTATATCAATAATTTCATTTATAAATTCTTTGTCTTGAGAAATTGCTTCCATATAACCATATCTTGCAATAATTTTATAGAACCCTTTATATTTACGAATCCTTTGCACCACCAATCTATCTTTCTTACCAACATATGGTATTGCCAAAGGTCTAATCGTTATAAATATTAGAATTTCCGGTAAAGAAGGTAGATGATTTATAAAATGATTAAAGGTGATCGGGATTCCACTAGTGACTTCATTATAAAATAAACCGATGCCAGGTAATCTTACAACTGGATATTGATTAGTTTTAAGTTTTAATAAATTATTATTTTTTCTTTTTCTTACAGATGATGTAGAAGAATCTATAGCGATATCTTCATCCACAGCACTATCGCTACTACCATCACCAACATCACACTTCTTCCCTTCTTCACGTTCATAATCATCTTCTGTCATAAATATATTTTCAAGACTAGTTTTATTTTTCATCACATATCTCAATTGAAGATTTGTGCCCCATCTCCAAATACGCATCATAACACATAATACAAATCCAAAAACCAATGTAAACCATCCACCGTATTGTACCTTGAGAAATGTGGCGCCCATAAATGAAACATCAATTAGACCAAATGTTAATAAGAATATTATACTGGCAATTAATGGTAAATTCCAAACTACACAAATCACAATGGAAACCAATATTGTTGATATAAATATAACTGTAATTACTGCGACTCCGTATGCATTTGTAAGATTTTCTGATTTTTGAAATGCAATACAAACCAAAACCGTTGCAATCATCAAAATATAATTTATCTGGAAAAAAAAAATATTTATAGAAATCGTAAGAAATTTTTATATAAATTATCGAAATAATAGAAATCGTGTCATATTATATATTCATTCACCTCTGGAATATAAATTTGTCCGTGAATAGTTTTTGATGTATGAATAACCTATAGAAAAGTTCAGAAAATAAAATTAACATAATAAAATAATATAAATAAGTAAATAATAATAAGCACTCACTTTCCAATTGTTATTTTTGAATTTTTGAATTTGAGTCCAAAGTAATTCTAAGGTCTTTGATTTAAAAATGTTTTTTTTTAGTAAAATAAGTATATAAATGAATGTGTGCCCAAATTCAATTGTTTGTAAAAAAGGAAAAAAAAAGATTTTGACTTAATAGATTAATAATTAAGATCAATTTCTGATATTATGTTAAAAAGTTTATAAAATGGATCACAAAAAAAAAAAGTGTGTGTATGTGTGTGTATGTGTATGTGTATGTGTATGATCTTGGAATGATATGTATAATACCAGCAAGGATTACTAACAAATTATTGAAATGAAAAATAATTAAAAATAAATATACTGACATCAACTTGTTCATAAGGGATATTGGAGCCAACATATGGTCTAACAGAATTTAGAACCAATAAACCATCAATTTCTTTGATTGCTCGATCCCTTGCATAAAAGTATCTTTCAATTTTAGATAAAATGCCCTCCAGTATATCTGGACTTCGATCATGTAGTCGAGTGGCTACCTGAATGATGCAATTACACAAGAAAGTTAATTTTAATTATAAACCTTCTAATATGATTAAATTTCTGCTTTATTATGAAATAACTTACATAAGGTAATGTTGAAAGAACAATTTGTACTATTGCATCCGCATGATACTAAATTAAGATAAATTAATTAAAGGTTCATTCAAATAACAAACAAAATAATGAAATTCTGATAATACCATTTTAACATTAGGTTCATCTAAAGTTGTCAATAAATCATCATAAATATCTAACATTGTTCTGGGCAAGATTACATTTGAATTTGTCAATTCTGCAAAAAATTTAAGCTATATATGTGTGGGTGGGTGTTTTATCAATATAAACATCAAGCTTTTGAAAATATTGTTCAATCAAAATATCATTACATACAGATAATTTTGCACCACGCCAATTGCCTTCATTTAAGCATTGTTGCAAACTTTGAGAAGTCATTTTTACTATAGCTGCACCTATATCTGATCTAGCTACATTCAAAAGACCAATAAGAGTTCCATAAACAAATGTTTTCGTTGGTAATTCCATAAAACTATTATTTGAATTGTTAATTATTAAAAATTATTCTTTTTAAAAAATAAATAAATAATATATAATATGAATCAAATAATTTATTTTACTAACCAATTTTTTATTGCTTTCAATATATTAATTTCATATTTTGCATATTCAGTTTGAATTAGGTTTGAAACTATTCCAATATTTGAATGAATTTCTTGAGGTGACATCTAATAATAATTTTTTTAGTCTTATATTATAACCAAGCTTATTCATTATAATATATTTATCCATTTCACCTTGTCTCCTAAAATTATTAGAAGTTTTGTTAATCTTTTATCGGGAGTGTCCTTCTCATAATAGTTAATTTTATTAATTAATTTAGGCATTTTTTAAAGTAAATGTGATAGCGAAGAGTAAAAAGATCAAAATAAATTCCCTTGATTGGCCAATTGTTGATCATTACAATTATTGTAGATCTTTATAATATGTTAAATATACAAAAACGGGTTTCTTTGTATAGTCTAGAGACCTCCTGAAATTTTAATAGTTTATATAGAACTCAAGAACTACTTTATATTTTAAAAATTTGACTTGGTAATATAATATGTTTCTCTAGCTTTAATGTAACTGAGAACTTTCTCAAAAAATTTATTTGTCTATTCCTTTTAGTACTCTTAGTACTGTGAGCATGCAATCTGAGTTTGATTAATTAACATGATTCACTTACAAAGGTAACCCACTAGCTCTTCTAGTGACTCTAATTATGCTGGTCCAGATCCTTGGTACCAAGATAATTGGAGATTTCTACACTATATTATTACTGGCACACAGCCTAATATAATGACCTGTTATATTGTTACAGGCACACAGCCACAATATAATCCAAGGCTTTTCCACTAACATATGTTATTACTAGCACACAGTCTAATATATATTCCTCAAACTTAGCACACAGCTAGCTATCAATCACTGAACAATTACAAAACTATGCTACTCAAGGAATCCCTACAAGCAACACAGTACAATCAAAAGAGTTCTTAACTAATCATTAAAAATTAGTCAGTCCCCTAACCATCAGAAGGATCATAGAACAATTCATGAGGACTCTTCCTCTTTAACTATGCAAAAATTTGTAATAAGGTAAAATGTGTTTATTTAATCAAAGGTTATTATTAATATCAGTATTATTATTATTAATTGTTAATTCAAAGATTTAATTAGCAATTTGTGAGGGAAATGAAAAATCTACAGGTGCTACAAAGCAAAGTTTTTTATTTTCTGATTAAAAATCAAAAAAATGTATCAATATATTCTTTGATGTTTATTCCATCTTATAAAATAAAGAAATATAAATTTGGGGCACAAAAGCATAGTGCTATTTTCTTGTAGAAGATCATAAAGTAAAAATTTTTAATAGTAAAATCAGCACTTCTAGATTTTTTTGCCAATCATTTGATAAATCTCCCTTGTTTTTACTATCATCAATTAAATATTTCTTGGATTATTACAGATAATGTGATTTGTGCTATTCTACTATCCAATAAAATATGCTTATTAATTATAAATTGTGACAAATACATTGTAACATCTATCTAGATAAACATGAGCAATACACTCACTTACCATAAATATCCAACCACTTATGTTGTATAATGTCAAATGAAAAGAGTCCTTACTAAAAAAGTAATGTTTCTTAAATAAAACCTTTTTTACTTTACTAAGTAGACTTGTACTTGATATCAAAATCTCTAAATTACCAAAGCTTTGAAAGGTTTGGTATGGTATTAATGGAAACATTTAGCAAATATTCCAAAAAGCAAATTTTCAATTGGAATCTTTACATGCAATAAAAGGTCAAATTTCTTCATTGTAATGTATATTATTTCATTAATAAAAACATGCTTAACATAATGGATTACATATATTTACAATATGGTGTCAGCATAAATTAGTTTGTGAAAAGGGTTTAAAAAAGTATCAAACCACCTTGTAATTTTATACAAAACACTTAATAAGTTGACAGAATGCAAATTTTAGAGTTTTACGTTTCATTGTCTATACTTGATCAATTTTTCTCAAATTTTAACCATATATAATTCAAGTTGTTTTAAGTGGACTTGCTTAATGACATAATCCATGATTCAACGGAGTTTTGAACTTTTTTACTAAGCTCAAAGTTTTCATAAAAATCACAGGATTTTTTGTCTAATTTAAATTCATTAATAATGCAAACTCAACAAGACTAAGTTTATATGCAAATTAACTTTAAAAACATGTTTACTTAATGCACCAGCCCGGTTTGATTAATAAAATTTTGAACTGAATAAAGCATAACATTTTCAATTATTAAAATGATCATCAGGTGGTCAGATATTTATGGTAGGGGAGTATACATGAAATACATATTAATATGGTGCAAGTCACTTAGTCACTGAACTTTTTGTGCTACAATGACAATTTTGAGAAAAAAATTTACAATCAAAAATGCAATAAAATTTTAATGATCACGTGCTTTCAAAGATCGTCAAGCACTGCTACAGCTACTCTCTTATTTAAGTAATAAGGGATTGTAACTATGGAAATTTGAACCTTTTTTCTCAG